TAAACTAAACTAAACTAAACTAAACTAAACTAAACTAAACTAAACTAAACTAAACTAAACTAAACTAAACTAAACTAAACAAGTTTATCGCCCAGTGCTGAAAGGGGAAACGTGGAGGGAAATGTCTGTCTGTTAGCAAAATATTCTCTAAATCACTGAATGGATTTTAATGAAAATTTTAGAAAGTTATTAAAAGATCTGCAACATCAAGTCAACATGATTCAAGATGGCCACTATAATTAAGCAAAACTTTACAGACTTGGAGTTTTTCTGTTTAAAATTCCCAGCTCGTCGGCTTCAGATGTGTGCATGTTCTGCATAAAATTTTCTTTAAACATTTGTTTTTTTAAAATGTGTGCAAATCCTGACAGAGCTAATCACAGTAAATATTCAGCATCTGTGAGGCTTCACACTCCAAGCACTTCAACACAGCGATGTGTGTGTGCGTGTGTGTGTGTGTGTGTGTGTGTATGTGTGTGACCTTGAATACGACCACCGCAACTCGCACAAGCATTTTAATCAGCTAGAAGGGACAGTGGCAACACTTCACATGTAATTATCGTGTCTATTGTGTGTGCCGTCTGCAGAGACTTTGTGATTTGGTGTGTGTGGGTGGAGATAATGAGCACAGCTTCTCTAACACATGTAGTCACGCGTGGWAAAACCTCAATGGTTTGGGCGCAGAGGGGCATTAAAAGGGCACACGTCATGCYTGTAAACACACGACACTGAGGAAGGAGTTAAGTGCACTTGTGCACAGCGGGACACTTGGATGCACACATGTTGAAAAGGTTGGAGTTTAGTAGGGCATGAAGGCAGCCAGCGGAGCAAGTTGTAAAGATTTCATGAATTTACAGTGAATGAATTTTACACATGCGTGCACTTATTTGTCTGCTTACTGTACTGTGCAATGATTGGTGAGCGTGTTCCTGAGCAGAATCAGACCTGCCTGAGGGCCTGAAGATCAGATATCTGCTGACTTTCAGCCTTGTCCTCGGAGCAGAGATTTCTCCAGATTATTAATATCTTTTGATGAGCTCATGAATTGTAGATGAGGGAATATGCAAAGTTTTTCCAAATCTTTTCTTGAGGAACATTTTTTTGAAAATGTTCCACCTCTTCTAAAAAAAAAATATCCATCCATCCATCCATCCATCCATCCATCCATCCATCCATCCATCCATCCATCCATCCATCCATCCATCCATCATTACATAAGAGGCAGGTACATCCCGGTCATGTCTCAAGTCCATCGCAGGGACAAATAAAACATTCACTCTAAATCAGGTGTGCCTTAAGTTTTTCTCAGAGTGGGCCATATTTAAAATATGAGTGCTGCGAACCAAATGCAATAATATGATTAAAGTTCTTTTCTTTTTTATGTTTAATAGCAATCAATGCAGTGGCCCATGTTTTTTCCCTTTTTGTTGTTTAGTTTTCATCCTATGTACTTGGAGAAAGTTTAACGTATGTTCGGCAGCAAAGGCTCACGGGACATTTCATGAATTGATAAATAAGAGRGTATTTGTGGTCATATAAAGTGTGRAAATCTACTTAAATCTTAMCTAAATGTCTCATACTTGTATTTCATGTTTAACCTTAATATTCAACAATAAAGTAAGCTCCATGAGTGAAAACTGTCTGCACTACAGCCGCTCACTGGGTCAAAAGATGGAATGCCATTAAGTTTAATTAAGTGTTTCTACATGGGGTGATATAAGATTATAGTGTAGTTACCAAGGCAACTGCTGGTGGGCCAAATCTCATTTGGGCACATCTGCTCTAAATTGTCCCTAGGTGTAGGTGAGAGTTCTCACTCCCTCCTAGGGACAATTTAGAGTTTTGTGCTGACAAACTGTTATAACAGTTTAGTCATTAAAACAGTTTGAACAGCAGTATTTGCATGATATATTCACGAAACCAGAAAGTGTTAATGAACAGTTTGGTTTTGGATCTATCACAGCTTTCACATTCAGGACTTCCAGCTTTAGAGATTAAGTCCGATGTTGCACAAGCTTGTGAATTTTTTTGTACAAGTTTATTTTAAAAGATGCTACAGTTGATTTTTCCTGATAAGAATAAAACTTAAAGAAGAAGAAGATTAGAAAGTGAACAAACAACTGTGATTTGCTATGAAGCACTGCCATCTGGTGTTCAAAAGTAACAATTACAGACACAAAGCTTCATTACAAACTGTTTCATTGAAACAGCATTGGTTAATGTTTTACATGTTTCTGCACATTATGCTGTTTTTTACTTGATTTTTTTTCCTGTCAGTTAATTTTTTTACTCTCATTTTATTGGGTGCTTTATAGCTCATTGGTTATCAGTGCTGCTTTACATCAAGAA